AACTTTAGATTTTTATTGAAGTATATAATATTTGCATTGTCAACAATAATGTGTACATCCGATTATGGCAATACATAAGGATCATAACATATACCAAAATAATATTGAGGTACCTACAATATCCTCTATTGGAGCAAATAAGCATTTAGTAAGTACAAGAACTAGAATACTAAAGAATTAGTCTTCTTGCTTGAGTACCATTAATCAGGACTGCACATCATAATCAAGGTACAACAGGAAAGAAGAGAGGAGAAGAGAAGGGGGGGAGGGGATATGAGATCAGAGAAGAGGTGAAAGGTTAAAGAGTAAAGGCTGCGATTCCTGTTTGATGTGCACGGCGCCATCCATGAGTATCACTGCAAGCACCATCATTGTGATTCGGGCCGGAGACGCTGTGAGGAGTGCAGGGGGGGGGGCATATTGGACTTTAATGACAGGACTACAGAACACCTCCCCTGTGTTAGTGGAACACATACCGGCATTTATGACAGCAGCGCACCAGATCATCCTGCTGCACGCGGTCGGTGAGGAACTGGGGGCGGCAGAGCGGCAGGCGGACCTTAGTCAGCATTTCTGGAAGGAAGACTTCTCGCTGCTCCCGATCGTAGCGAATCCACGCCAACGCAGCTTCAAAGACCTGCCGCAGGAGCACAGCCAAAGGAGGAAGTAATAATCCGTCAGATACAATGTATACCTTTGTCATTCTTTATGCAAATGTTCATATACTATGTTACAGTTGGAAGATATAACATATACAAATAATACAGCTCTGTATTCATTGTTTCTCAATTGCACCTGCGGGCTCTGACATCACAGCCGGAGCCATCTGGCAGGCGTCGGAGGAGATCACTCCACATGAGGAGGCAGAGCAATGAGGCACAGTACACTGAGTGCGGTCATGAAACGGGCTCCGGGTCGCACAAGCCCCCTCCGGCTGCCATACTGTGTAGGCCACCCCCAAAGACTTCATTGGTTACCAGGAAGCGAGCTGGCACCCAACTGATTCGTAGCAACTCATGATGTCATCCGTTGCTACAGACGCCATCGGCAGCCACTGTTTAAGGCCTCATTCACACTGAGCGATTTATCGCGCGGTAAATAGCCGCGATATCGCGGGAATTACCGCGCGATAAATCGCTCTCAAAATGCATGGCAATGGGGCTCTGTCCGTCGCTGTCGCGGGTCGTGCGTCGCTACAGCAGGACCCTTTTTGGAGCGGATTTTGCCGCGATTCTAGCTTGCTCAATGCAACCATTTGCGCGATATCGCGCAAAATGCAAATCGCGCAACAAAGATTTGCGAATCGCTCAGTGTGAATGGGGCCTAAGACTGTGGCAGTTGATGGCGTCTACATCGACGGATGACATCATTGGTTGCCAAGACTCAGCCGGGAGCCTTGTGGGAGACTGCCAAAAATTTTGGATGGATTTTGCTGGTACACTCAGGTGGCACACTGGATGAGAATCATTGCATTAAACACAGAACTATGGGGGTCAGGGCTTTTCCCCATAGTTCTCCTAAGGGTAACGGGAGGACACAAACTAGCGTTTGTATGTGTTCGCTCACTTCCCGATCTACGGTTTCATTGTCACAGGTCGGCTCAGATTATGAGGCGGAGTGAGAATCACTCGCCTCATAGTTCTCCTTTAATCCAACATCAAAATATGTGCATTTTAGCTGGCACAAGCCTCTTTACAGTAAAGTTTAGACTGGGGGAGGGAGAAGCAGCCCATGGAGCTAATCAGTGGTGCTGCAGTGGCTCATGCAGGTGTATGCAGTATGTCATGTCCTTCTGTCCCCCTGGCTGAGTATAGTACACTTGGTGTCCACAATTGGTAAAGATGCTCAATCATAAACTGATCATTGGAGAAATAGAATTTCAGCCCTTCTCTACTGATCACAGGTTGGGCTGTAGACAATTTCAAGGCCGTCACTAAACAGCTGGGATGGAGCAGTTATAGGAGGACCCCATCCAGGTGTTTATGCAGATCCCACATGTCTGATCCCTGTACCCCCTGCAGAAGTTGGTGTAGGGTAGCTTTGCTTCACCCTACAGGGCTGTAATATCAGAATACATCGGGACCAATGTGATACGAGCAGCAAATAAAACCCGCTTCATTCTCCTCAGACACGTTACCTGCTCCTCCACCTTCACATTCAGCTCATCCCGGGAGACCAGCTCCAGGACTTCGTCAAAGGGCAGGGCCAGGAACTCCTCCGACATGGACACCTCCACAAAGTGCTCGTGGATGAAGCGGTTGGCAGCATCGTACAGCACCGTGCACATCATGGTCTCCGCAAACTGCCGAACTCCCAGACAATTCTTGGGGTGCAGCCTGAGAGGAGGAGACACGCAATGAAAGAAAGAACTTGGTAAAACGAGAAGCTCTCTAGTAGCCTCTTGGACACCCAAAAGAAATTCCAGAAAGTCTGGCACCCATGGATCTCCCACGCACACCCCGAGCTTCCCCTGGAGAGTCTCACATACCTTTAGGACTATTAGACACCTTGGTGCAACCGTTTTCCCCCCTTCCTCCTCTACTGAGATCCTACTGTTCCTCCCTCCCTTCCTCTTAACCTACTCCCATTGTATTAATGTTAAGTGACACTTTCAACCCCGGATCATGGGGACTGCTACCCGGCTGGGCTCCAAAGTGGTCCTGTGGTCGACATTGGAATAACACCTCCTCGAAATAGCTCCTCCTCATAGTTTTTGTAGGCTTCTTGATACTCCTGCGAGGAACAGCTCCATGTGTTGAGCGGAAGGCTCTACATGCAGCAATCCGACTCTATTCCTCGGCTGTGTAACAACCTTGATCATTTGACATATACTAATGCCATTTCTGTATTGCTCTGTAAAACCAATAAAATACTTTGGAATTGAAAGACAGAACTTGGAAAGGACCGCAGTTCCACCACCAATATCACTGCCAGCCAACGGGCCAGTAATCATGTGTGGTCGACCACAATTGAACATAGGCCTGAAGGTTTTTGTCCCTCAGCTCACCCTGCGACAGCACCAAGGTAAGCGAGTCTATATCTGGGGAAACCCTCACATTAGAAGAGGAAGTAGAATTTTAATGCTGAGCTTTTGGTACCCAAAGATTTCTGAATACCCTTCTGGAGCTCTGCGAACACAAACTCTTAAAAAGGAGAACTATGGGGTTAGGGCTTTTCACCATAGTTCTCCTAAGGGTAACCAGAGGACACAAACTAGCGTCCTCCCGTGACCCTAAGGTCAGTATACCGCGAGCTACAGCTCCCTATATACTGAGACGCCGCAGCTGAAGCGGATCCCGACAACAATGTCTGGATCCGCCCAGCTGCGTGACTGACAGCTGGGTCTGCCTATCTAAAGGCAGAGCAAGCTGTACCCGCCCCCTCCAGTTCCGCCAGTCAGCGCTGGCGGATCGGAGCGGGGCACCCAGCCCCTCCCCTGTCACGGCAGAGAGCCGTGACAGGATCGAGAGGTGAGCGAACGCCTCTTATGTGTTCGCTCACCTCCCGATCTACTGAGCCGACCTGTGACAGTCTCATTGTCACAGGTCGGCTAGAACTATGGAGTGAAAATCAACCCCTCCCCCTCATAGTTCTCCTTTAATGAAAGCCTTGAAAATTCTGAAGGTGCTGATTAAATGTCTCACACTAATTGGTACCAAGTATATATCTAAAGCTGAAAACAGAGTAGTCTCCAGAACAGGCATCCCCCGTTGGAAGATTTCACCTCAGAGTGCTAAAGGGTCCCCATGGCAAGGTACCCTCTCCATGCTGCAGGCATGTGGCTTGGTATGGCTTATGGTGGGGGAGCCACACGCTTGCTGCCCCCTCCCTTTCTTGGCCAGCTAGGCTACCTGCCTGGATAAGGGTCTGGTATGGATTTATTTAGGTAGAGCCCAGTTCTTTTTGCATGGGGTCCCCCCTTAAATCCATACCAGGCCCTTATCAAGGATAAGGTTCTAGTATAGATATAGAGGGGGACCCCCAACGACATTTAAGGGCAATACTTTTATTTCTTTCTAAAGGTCACTCGTGGTGGAGTACAATGTAATGCGTGTCACTTCACATGCATGTTTAAGGCATCCTCCAAAAATGTTACTCAGAAGAATTGTGAATTTGTAATGTTGCCCTTTAAGATCGGGTTCCCTGGGGGCAGAACGGATCAGGTTCCCTAGGGGCAGAACGGATCAGGTTCCCTAGGGGCAGAACGGATCAGGTTCCCTAGGGGCAGAACGGATCAGGTTCCCTAGGGGCAGAACGGATCAGGTTCCCTAGGGGCAGAACGGATCAGGTTCCCTAGGGGCAGAACGGATCAGGTTCCCTAGGGGCAGAACGGATCAGGTTCCCTAGGGGCAGAACGGATCAGGTTCCCTAGGGGCAGAACGGATCAGGTTCCCTAGGGGCAGAACGGATCAGGTTCCCTAGGGGCAGAACGGATCAGGTTCCCTAGGGGCAGAACGGATCAGGTTCCCTAGGGGCAGAACGGATCAGGTTCCCTAGGGGCAGAACGGATCAGGTTCCCTAGGGGCAGAACGGATCAGGTTCCCTAGGGGCAGAACGGATCAGGTTCCCTAGGGGCAGAACGGATCAGGTTCCCTAGGGGCAGAACGGATCAGGTTCCCTAGGGGCAGAACGGATCAGGTTCCCTAGGGGCAGAACGGATCAGGTTCCCTAGGGGCAGAACGGATCAGGTTCCCTAGGGGCAGAACGGATCAGGTTCCCTAGGGGCAGAACGGATCAGGTTCCCTAGGGGCAGAACGGATCAGGTTCCCTAGGGGCAGAACGGATCAGGTTCCCTAGGGGCAGAACGGATCAGGTTCCCTAGGGGCAGAACGGATCAGGTTCCCTAGGGGCAGAACGGATCAGGTTCCCTAGGGGCAGAACGGATCAGGTTCCCTAGGGGCAGAACGGATCAGGTTCCCTAGGGGCAGAACGGATCAGGTTCCCTAGGGGCAGAACGGATCAGGTTCCCTAGGGGCAGAACGGATCAGGTTCCCTAGGGGCAGAACGGATCAGGTTCCCTAGGGGCAGAACGGATCAGGTTCCCTAGGGGCAGAACGGATCAGGTTCCCTAGGGGCAGAACGGATCAGGTTCCCTAGGGGCAGAACGGATCAGGTTCCCTAGGGGCAGAACGGATCAGGTTCCCTAGGGGCAGAACGGATCAGGTTCCCTAGGGGCAGAACGGATCAGGTTCCCTAGGGGCAGAAAGGAATGTTCTGCATGGCTTTGCCCACCATCCTAAGATAAGGAATAAGGCCGTGTTTTGGGAATTCGTGATGGAAGTTTGACTTGTAGATCCCTTTTGGTTTTAATAAGACTTAACAATGGGATCATAGGCGGCTTTTTAGTACCTTTTGGTCCACCACACTCTGACCGGTCCGCTTATATCTTCTAGTAATTCACTTCACTATCCTATGACAAGACTACCACCCAATCCAGCTGCCTGGAATCTGACGGCTGCACCCACATCCCCAGACAGAAGGGCATATCCTATTCTCCCACATGGACAGGGGCACTGACCTCTGGACGGTCAACCATCTGCCAAGATCACACAGCGTCCCTTATACCCGATAGACATGAGAAGTCCAGAGCACAAAGCACCCGCTCTGATCTGTATAACTCACCTCTCCTTCAGGAAGGAGCAGCAGGCGTCCTTTATATTCTGAAGCTGGAGGAAGCTGGCGCCCATCAGGAGAGACTGAACGTTCTGCTGGTCTATGGCTAGGTGCCCGTTATATGCAAAGTTTATCAGAGCTTCCAGAGCGCTGCAGAGACAGAAAAAGGGAGACGGGTCATTGCTATGGATTCCAAGTCACATTTATGGACCAATTATTAAGAAGAGTCTAGGATCAGAAGGCCGAGTTCCCCAACAGTAAGAGGGCCAATGGTGGGAGAAAACCAACCCAAAACAGGATCACATAAAACAATACACTCTCCACAAGTGATTGCATGGAGAATACAAGGCCAAGGCTGCACTCTACCACTTCATGCTCCAACACACTCCACCATTCTAGCACCTAACAGTAGGAGAACGATTCACTGCTAAAAGGTTAACTTATCAGACACACCGACAACTCGAGGGTTAATGCACACTTCGAGAGACAAGGTCATCCACCCATTCAGAACAGCGTGATACTGCCTTCTGGTATCTCATCCCTGCCAACAAGGTATATTCCCCCCCATCCAAGATCCATCACTGTCGCAGAAGTCCACCCTCAGTAAGCCTTGGTGTCATGGATTTTGAATTTCGCTTGCATATGGCAAGCACTCATTGGTCAGCGCAGTCACCTGATCAGGCGACTGCTTTGACCAATGAGTGCTTGCCATATGCGAGCGAAATTCAAAATCCATATTGCAGGGCTGCTCTACACGGCAGTACGGGGTACAGATAGTACCACTATACCAGCGGAGGGGGAAGCAGCGTTCCATGAAATGCAATCATTTTCCCAAATTCACTTGGGAAAGTGGACTTACCCTTTAACAAATGGTCAGACATCAGGTATACTTTGTGGTGACAGGTTCACTTTACACATCAGGGTGATGGATATTTGCTGTCTGTACTGGAATGCAGTCACTGCGAGCTCGTACTCACCTGGGGTCCATCCCCTGCATGACTATCTCATCCTGCTTACACTCCATCATGTCATTGGTGAACATGGCGTGGAAATAGGGGATGGAGGCCGCCAGCACGATCCGATGGGCGCTAAACTTATGCTCCCCCACCTGCAACAAGGAGAAAAGAAGAGAACGTTAGAGAGATGGAAGACAACATTCTGCTATTTCCCACTGACCTCCGATAACGGGGCATTCACCTATTCATATGGCCCCCTCAAACAGTGTGACGGACAGTGAACTGGCCCTTTGTGTAAAAAGTTTGGGGACCCCGGCTTGAGAGCACATTTATGCCAACATTAAAAAAGGAATTCATTGCTTACCACTCCTTGATGCCGACTTATTGGCTTCAATGCGGAAAGCCATCAAATGATATCTATGCAGCACATGTCTTCAGTGAGGTGCACAAAAGCAAGTGTTCACAAACAAAAAACAATCCCCTCAGGTCACTTCATGCAGCCAGTAGTGAGCACGCTTCTAGATTCTCTCACAGACCTGAACGGATGCCTATAAGCCTTGCTAGTGATGGCTCTATACCAGACGGTCCTCATATTTGGAAGGGAAAAGTAAAAAAATCAGAACCGATGAGCCCCTGATGATGGCTCACAGAAGAAAAGATGGGAAAAGGGTTGTAATTACAAACTGCATTCATTTGAGCCGCAGTGAGCGGTCTTTATTACAGGAGGGGGCGGAGACAAGACTAGTCACCCTGCACAAGGAGAGGGAGCAGCAGTGACCGGTCTTTATTACAGGAGGGGGCGGAGACAAGACTAGTCACCCTGCACAAGGAGAGGGAGCAGCAGTGACCGGTCTTTATTACAGGAGGGGGCGGAGACAAGACCAGTCACCCTGCACAAGGAGAGAGAGCAGCAGTGAGCGGTCTTTATTACAGGAAGCTCCAAGTCTCACACTGGATTTCTGCACAGATCTGGAATACACAAAGCTCAGAGATTCCAGAAGAATACCCATGACTCTGGTATGAGGACAATATTTGAGGTCATGTATTTGTCCACCTTTCATTGTACATTCATTTTGTTCAGTTCTGATCAGACCGGAAGAAACAATGTATCAGTTCTGATGATGACTGTTCTCAATTAAACCTAAAAAAGGAATCCCCTGACTTGGCCACAGAGCTCACACTCCGATTCATATCAGACACGCTGGAGCCGTCAATGTAAAATCCCAGCCGAGGAACTTAATTGAACCCGACACTAACGAGGTTAATAGCGTGAGACGGGATAAAGGAGAACGTCAGCGTGGCGCCATGCCGATGCCGGCGCTCAGACTGCCAATTAATCAAGAGGACTTAACCAATAATCTGCTTTGTGCACATCACCCGAGAGATGGACCGCGAGGGGTCATCGTCAGCCCAGAGACGGCCTAAGACTTTTTCCCAGTAGTCTGTACTAAGATACAAGAAATATTTTAGGCATTCCCTGCAAAAGAGATTTAATTTCCGTGAGATGTGTTTTTCCTCATTAGAACACTAAAAGTGCACCAAGTGATTATAATGAGTACAGACCCCTCTCATTCATTAGTCCAACCCAGTCCCACGCCGCAGTCCGACCCAGTCACACTCCGCAGTCCGACCCAGTCACACTCCGCAGTCCGACCCAGTCACACTCCGCAGTCCGACCCAGTCACACTCCGCAGTCCGACCCAGTCACACTCCGCAGTCCGACCCAGTCACACTCCGCAGTCCGACCCAGTCACACTCCGCAGTCCGACCCAGTCACACTCCGCAGTCCGACCCAGTCACACTCCGCAGTCCGACCCAGTCACACTCCGCAGTCCGGGTGGTCTGCATGCAAATGAAGCCTACTTAGGAATGCAACAGCCCTCACCTCCTCTGAGGAGTATCCAATTACTAACTGTGCTGGCCCAGCTCTTCCACCCCTCGCCTCCATAACCTTTTATGTAGCTGCCAGGGGCAGAATGGAGGGGAATACTATTGAGTGCCAATTTAGTGACAGTGCTAGTCTGTTGGGGCTGCTGACATTACATACAAGATGGCGGCTCCCAGGCCCAGTCTCGGGGCTTTTTGGATGTTTACAAATAACATGCGTAAAATACATTAAATGCGCATTTCATCTAATGGGAAGTTTGTAATTGAAATGAATGTCTGGTGTCAGGGTCTCTTTAAAGCCAAACTGCAGCCAACACTTCATATTTGGTTAAGGAGAGAAGAGTTAGAACATCTGTGTCCGTATGGGGGGGGGGATTTCACCTCCCGAATAGGGAGAAAGATAATAACAAAAAGATTGTATAGTAGTGAGGGTTAGAACTTCCGACAAGGTTTATACTATGGACTGTGCCTTCCAGTCCTGGGGATATCCGCACCCCCTTTACTTTCCGGTCCAAGTGTCATAGGCACAGGAAGTGAGGAACAATCTCTCCAATGGAGGGTCACGGACAACATTTCAATTGTCTACTTTGTTGGGAGCTGTACTAAACATACTCAAAAAAATGTGAACAGATTATACAGGGCCGTGTATTATACCCTCCCAAACCCCACAATTGCTGACTATTCCCAAAATGACCCCCAGGACTTGCTGTGTAAATACAGGAGCCATAGAAGCTGCTGCAGTCAAAAAAAAGGCAGTCTGTCACACTGTATATAAACATTGACCAGAGGGAGATAGAGAGATACAAAGTAACATTGTTTATACACATTGATCAGAGGGAGATAAGGTGCCCATACACCTGCCGATCATCGTACTATAATTGCGGGAAATCCCGCGATCGTACGATAATCGTGCAGTTTATGGAAGGCGTGCGACCGTTTCTACTGTATGGTCGCACGACTTTTGTATTTCGAGTATGTTTGAAAACCAGCCGAGAATCGTACGATTTTCGGCTGTTTTTTAGCATGATCGAGAGATAACTGCCGAACTGGCCGGTGTGCATTGGGCACATCGTACGTTTTTAAAATTACTTTACAACCCTCGCAAGACAAAAGTCTTGCGATGGTTGTAAAGTACTTTAAAAAAGTACGATCTGCCCATCTTGGACAGGCAGATCGTACTTGCGATCATCGCAAGCCTGCCCCCCTGAGGGGCGGGCTTACGATGACTGCAATGAGAGGCGGGCTTGCGATGACTGTGTGCGCGTACCGGCCCGTTCGGCAGTTGTCAAACCAGCAGGCCCCTAACTCGCCGAGAATCGTACGATTCCCGGCAGGTTTTCTAGCCTGCTGGTTCGACGGAAGACGTGCAAACCGTACAGTAGAAACGGTCGCAGGCCTTCCACACACTGCACGATTCTCGTACGAGAATAGTGCAATGTATGGGCACCTATAGAGGAGATACAAAGTAACATTGTTTATAAACATTGATCAGAGGGAGATAGAGAGATACAAAGTAACATTGTATATAAACATTGATCGGGGGGGAGATGGAGAGATACAAAGTAACATTGTATATAGACATTGATCAGAGGGGGAGATAGAGAGATACAAAGTAACATTGTTTATAAACATTGATCAGAGGGAGATAGAGAGATACAAAGTAACATTGTATCTCTCTATCTCCTCTCTGATCAATGTTTATAAACAAAGTAACATTGTTAGTTTTAAATCTATTCTGCATCATTCACCTGCATATCATAGTTTTTTTATTTATGCAACTCTTTATTAACCCCCAATCAGTCCTAATTAACTTTCTCCCTTTCCTATTAGAGAGGAACTCCAGGATATATAAAAAGTAACCCTGGTGGTGGAGCTGTCCCGGCACTGCAAGGGTTAACTTGGTTTTGGTCTAGGGGCACAAATAAGGAAAATATACTCTCCTGATCCTCAGTCCCAACTGGCTGCTAGACCGGTCTCCTGCCCCAGGTTCTGGCAGACTAAGTCCCACTGACATCATCACATCTTTGCAAGGTCCACTCACTTGCATTAGACATGGGGACACCGAGGAACATTCCACAGCTGGAGGAGAGGGGGTAAGAGGTGAGCAGTCATTGACGTAGGATCGAAGATCAGGTCTTTATATATTCTTTATTCCATTCCCTGGACCAAAACAAGCAGTTAACCCCTTGATGTGCAGGGGTAGCCCCACTGCGAGGGTGAGCTTTTTAAGCTTCCGGAGTTCACATTTTAAAAAAAACAAGGCGCGCCCCCCCTTCCCATTCTGCCCACAACAGGTTCGCTTTGTATAGATATAGCGGAGATGTGCGCGGGTGAATGCGGCTCTGTGGTGGGTGATACGGGGACAAGGGTGCAGTGGGAGGACATGCGGGATCCACAAGCAGATAAGACGGGATTTGCTGCTGATCTCAGAGCAAAGCGGATAACAGACACCGCAGACCTCAAAGCTTATTTACTCGACACCGGCTCACGTCACCGGGCTGTATGCTCCACTCCTATTGTGCGAGAGGCTCCGGGGCCCCCGAACGCACAATGCCGGGAAGATGAAGGAAAGGGGGCCCTATTACTGTTAGCTGACCATCCCCTGCCGCTCACCCAGCCGGAGAAACCCAACAGATTATCAGCCGGGAATCAATTATTATTTGGACATGAATAGCAGAGAAGGAGCGCAGACACAGACTCAGGGCTATTTCACACGAAGAGCGTTCCAGGAGCAGAGCAATTACAGACCGGATCAACACTGCGTCCAATGGCATTCTGGGGTCTAATTCACACCGCAGGGTTCAGTTCCAGAGCATGTAAAAAAAAACTGCAGCAAGCCCTATTTTACCTGCTCAGGAACGCATGCAAAAGCCCTGAAAGCCCATTGTAGGGACAAAACAAACAAAAAAAAACGGCCCGGAACGCGTCAAAATACACTGCACTGCGTGTGCAGAAACTCGCGCAGATCTGGTCTGCATTTGGTGTTAACAAGCCCTTAGGAGTTTCATGGCTGAGCGCCATTTGTAGCCCGATACACAAGATAACGGGTCACCTAGCTCGGTGCTGGACCGGCGGAGCCCATCGTGAAATGTGAAACCCCAGAGCTTGCTCCGTCAATGAGCACATTTACATTTTATGATATGATGGGGGTTTGAATCCTGCTGCTGATTCTATACACACACTCAGCGCAGGTCACAGTATACAACACCAGTCATGGAATAGGAGGGCCTCTTACAGCTTGGGGACACCTGGGAAGTAGACAACAGGTAGATGGTACAGCCCGGGGACACCTGGAAGGCAGAGACCAAAGGGGACAGTACAGCCCGGGGACACCTGGCAGGCAGAGAACAGGGGGATGGTATAGGCCGAGATTCCTGGCAGGCAGCAACCAGTGAAACCGTATAGCCTGGGGGAAGCCAGGCAGGCATAGACCAAAAGGGACAGTACAGCCCAAGGACACCGGGTTGGCAGAGACCTGGGAGACAGGAAAGGCAGGAGATGCCAGGCAGGCATGGACCAG